ACATGGTCTACATTTCCAAGCATGCTTAAACTTGCATCTGAAAAATTATCAAAACCTGTGTTAGATTGCATTAAAAATTATCAAAACCTGCCTTAGATTGCATTAAGTCTACTTGCATTCTTCAGATAAATTGTTCCTCAATATGTCCCTTTAAACAATTTCCTTGGTCTATTCTAAAGCATAATTTGGTGAAATACCGAAAAAAAATCTCATGCAGTCTCAGAAACCTTCATTAAACTTATAGTTGGATCATGAACTGACTAATATGTCGCACTCAGAAACTGTCATTATTAACATTTAAATAATCACTTAATAATGAATTCAACGAAGAGCACAGTAGTCGAGGGGTTAGCCTTGCATGCTACCGTGCGGGTCATGAATCTAGCCCTCGATAAGGACTAGATTCATCAAGATCGCAAAGTAAGTGTTTGTTTCAATCTTTCGACCTTTTGAACAATTTTATTATACATTCGCATTGACCGGGTATGCGAGTATGCGAAATGTTTTCAAAAGTTCGAAATAGCTCTTGAACTCTATAAGCATTCACATACGTATATACCTGATTGGAGAGTCTACAACTATTTCCAAATTGTTTGAAAAATGTCATGCTTTTTTTGAATGAATGAAGGTGGACATTAAAGTATCCAGAAGTGAATAATAGCAAATAATATTAAATTGTGACGTGACTCTTCATATTTAAACTTTTTACTATTATTCAGCAAAATCAGCCCAAATCTTTTTAAAATTTAAGGAAGAAATTAAGTTTTTTTCTAAGGCTGTTGACATGATGATATTAGAGCGAGAAGCTGTCTACGTACGCTAAATTGTTATTGCATCATGTATTATTTTGAACAAACTAAAATGCATAAAAATTAATAAATAGTCATTAATCGGGATTTATATTTATAATTAAACCAATAATAATTTCAATTGGAGTGAGTAGGTAAAATTAAAGTGACATGTAATTTCTTTAGATTCACTAACCTATTTTCTTTAAATTCATTCATATTTATTTAACATTTACTTCAAAAAATAAATACACATAAATTTCAGAAAAATGCATGAAATCTTTACTTTAATCGATAGTATGGTCCATATAATTTAATTTTTGAAGATTATTTCTTGCAAATGTTGCCCGTGACCGCGCCTCAAATGGTCCATCCGCTTAGTCCAATTTTGACATATTTTTTCCAACATTTTGGCCTGCGTTAATTGAAGCGAGCTTGTCTGTATAGACATTAGATTTAGTATATCCGTTTTGATGTTTTCCAAATAAATGGAGAAACCTACAGTGTATACTAAACCGCCTCCGAATCTAACCACTCCGCTACCGGGACATTAACATAGTTCAGCGAAGAAAGAAACAGGGACTACGGTAAATAGGTCGTGTGGTTCGAGCGAAGGAAATCACTTCACGTTTTAGAGTATGCAGCACCCGCCAGTGGAGACAGAGGAAGAGACTTTCACTAGCGCTTAACAGTGAAGAGAAATAACGAATGGTGCGTTTTTGTTTATTCGGCAGTAACGAAAGTAATTGTTAATATTAAAGCTGTACAAATTAATCGTTAATATTAGTTTTAAAATGTATTTATTCGTGATTTTTTGAGCGGCTGCTTGTTATAACGTCGCCAGCGCCTTTAAAATTAGATGTTTAAAATTTTGTTTTAACGTATTAAAACGCACGACAGATTTTTGGATCGGGTTAAAATGAAATAATATTTATGTACTTATGTATTTTGTAAACTTCTTTAACTATGACATATCCAAGCTTTTCTAGAGAGATAACTGAAATGTTTAACATTCCAATGCAGATTTGCTTTGGCCTCAATGTGACTTCAAACTCGCTAATTGTATTGAATAAAATCCAAATATAATTTTCCTGTTTTGTTTTTATCTTATTTTTTTTCATTATCACAGAACCCAGCCTATAACGTTTGTATAGTAAACATATGTATATGTTTACCTAAATAATTATATATGCAGTATATACGTATGTGTGTCTATTTACTTGTCAATATATATATGGACATACATAGTTTTCATAACAATGTACATATGTATGTAAATACATCAGTATGTATGTGGGTAAGTATGAACCCTCTCCTATCGGTGGCATAGGTAATAAAACAACAATCTCGATGTTCGCAGAACGCATTGCATTTTCTTAGAGATGGGCCATTGGCATACACATGTATTTACATTCAAACACAAACAATTAAAAATATATACATATGTGTATTCAATCCAGCGACAATCAGCTCTAAAGATCTTCAATTTCGAGATTCGTGGGCACTGAAATGTAGTGAGTAAGTAGACTAGAAGTTAAATGCGCAAACGCACAAATTTTGAAAGACCTTAACTTTTTGAAATGAAGAGGTAATACAGATTATTGGCAAGGGCAAACACAAACTCTTTCAAAGAAAAAAAAAAATAATAGAAAACAAACTAGACTAAACGTCCTCTGGGTAACCAACAAACATCCGTTTAAGGTGAGAAGGTAAATTTCCCTGCTGTTGTGTGTAGGTTTCGGAAACCACTCCATGAAATATCTACTTTAACGGAAAGTAACTTACTAGAGATCCCATCTTTTGATGGCGACCACCCCAAGACTTTTAAGGATCACGATTTGAGGACATGCTCCAATTATGTCTGTCTCCTTAATTCGAAAGGTGCCGCTGCCCAGCTGGTTGATACGCAAGATGGCTGCCGGAGTTGTTCATTCCGCGTAGTGATAGCTTTCCTGCATAAGTTATGACTGTCAATAATGACGTGGGAGCCAAGGAGTAAGTGCAAAAACTGTTGGGTTAGATAAGAGAAGATATTTCGTCTTGTTCCCTAGCAGACCCATTAGCTTCGGTTCTTTGTCTAGCCTGGAAAATGCATAGGTCACGGTGCGGTTGATGTCATCAACATTGTGCATTACCTAATCATCTAATTTAGGATATCGTAGCACCCTGACTAGGACTTCGTTTGGTACCGAACCTTCCCAATTTTGACTGCCCTTCTGGTGTTGTCCAGCGTCAGTTTCCATAGCCGTATTAGTTTTGCGGGCAATCCGCGGATAATTGGCGCAGACCGTGGGGCCCCCCTTTTTAATGAATTGGGCAACAACACGCTCTAATCGTCGATTATGCTTTCTTGCCATAAAACCTTTCGTAGGTCGCCGTATTTTTTCGACGTTTTTATTTTTTGGTTCGTAAATGCGATCTTTCTTAACCCTTACCATTACATTTTTTCATTGGAGCTTTGTTTTTACGTGATTGAGTCCCAAAACATACGTACAACCGTATGAGTCGTGACCTGTTTGTACCATATGTATGTAAAACTATTACATGACATTTAAAAGCTTTGTCCACAACCTATACATATGGCCCCACTCCCTCTAAATTACTTATTCGAGCATATTTAAGAAAACTTTTGACATTTGCGCGTTATTTAACAAATTATTTCTTATATCATAATGTCTTCCTTAACGAGAATGACTTAAAATTGCCTAACCACAACATTTTCCTGAAGGATCCAAGGAGATAACTAAGTGACCGATGTAGGGTATGGGAAAACAGTTATTTACTGATGTACTGGTATGTCTACCATTGATCACATATTCACCTGGCGTCAAATCTTGGAAAAGACCTGCGACAAAAGAATCGATACAAAACAAATTTTCATTAATCTTAAAACTGCATTCGACCGCAATATATTTAAGTATCCCTGATAGTGTGTAAACTTTGTGAAAAGCTCAGTCCAAATTGGGAAATGCCGATTAGAGCCGTGAGATACCGATAGATTTTTCAGCCAACGCAACTTTATCATGCGATTTTTTTTAATTTGATGCTGAAGAAAACTATAAGAGCAGCAGAGGTAAATAGACAAAAGACAATACTTTACATAAATGTGCAGTTGCTGGCATATGCCTAAGACATAAATATCATGGCTCTTAATAACCGCGCCGTTAGTTCTCCATCCTCCAGGCGTAAGAAGAAAGTACAGCATGTCAGTCTGGTTGTAAGCTAGGAAAAGACAAAATAACTCCTGTTATCAAAAAAAAAAAAAAAAAAACAGTCGGAGCACTTAAGTCCCACATGTATATGTATTTACATAGATGTGTGCCTATATGCTTGTACATACATACATATCCTTGTACACACTTTACAGTATGTATGCCATAAAAAACATTTCTATATCAACTTAGTTTTCAAAATAATGTACATACGTCTGTAATATGTACCCACGTCTATCAACGGCATAGGTAATAAAACAACAATCTCAGTGTTCGCAGAATGTTTTTCATTTTCTTAGAGATGGGGCAACATGCATTTATACATATAAACACAAACAAATATTTGTTTATGCGTGTATATATAATATATACATATATATGTATGTGCAATCAAGCGACAATCTGGTCTAAAGATCTTCAATTTGAGATTCGTGGGGACTGAAATGTGCGCGTGTGTAGATTTTTAGGAATCCCGAGCGAGTGAGTAAGTAAACTAGAATTTAAATGCGCAAGCGCACTTGCATACACAAATACATTTTTGGAAGAGGAGAGGTAATATAGATTATTGTCAAAAGGCAAATACAAACTGGTAAAAAAGGGAAAACAAATAAACAGAAAATGGTATTTGGAAGTGAATTTTGGAGAGCTTACATTTACTATGGCAAATACATCATTTACGGCTGGGTATATCTATACATTCTCAAATATGTACTATTGTATATATATATGTACGCATGTACTTATATAACTTTTTTTCATGCAAAGCTAGTCATGCTTAGCACTTGTTAAGTGCCGTGGAGGCGTTTAAATTTTGTAGGCAGATATGTATGTACTGCAACAAAACGTATTTAAGATCTTGAAGTTTTGTCGCTTCTGCATTTAACTTTCACATAATATGTAGTAATTAAAAAATGAGACACACTCACAGTTCATGTTTTAAAAGAAAACACAGTTAATCAAATCATTTATTCTACTGTTTTTATATATATTTTATCTTCAGCTGCCAACAAGAAAACATTATCTACTTCAGACAGTTCCTACGCCTGCAGCCTTTAGTCAACCCAAATCAAGTCTACCCGCAGGAGGCTTGCAGCAAAAGTCAGTAAAAATCAAGACTCTACGCAGTATCAATGGACTTAAGCAAGAGCAATATGCATCTCTCAAAGAACAAAAAAAATCATTGCATAAGCAACAACAAAAGGGTATGACAAATAGCCTAACGGTGACACATCAAACGGCAAATGCGATAGCAGCAGTTGTACTGGCTTCCCCACCGCTACTAACTCTTCCCGCTTCAAAGGCTCCACAATCACAAGCCACTTACATGATCCGCAAGGACGTAAAGGGGTTCAATTTCTCCTCCACCGAAGTAAATAAATATGATGCAGCGGAACTAAAAGATTTACCGCGTCGTAGTAGAAACAGTGAACTCTTGCACGATTTGTGGCAGCGTGCCGTCACAGCAACGCCACAGCCACCGATAACTGAACTGGACGACATTTTCATCAGCGTTAAGACAACAAAAAATTATCACGACACTCGTTTGGCGTTGATCATCAAAACTTGGTTTCAATTGGCTCGTGATCAGGTGAGTGTTGATACAATTATAAGTGTTTTCTTTTTCATGCAAATAGAAGCCTACTGTTTGTGGATGATGATCCAATCAATACGATCTATTTTTGAATAGGTCGGCTACGAATTTGGTAAAGTTGTAAGTTTTAGGAAGAGCAAATTCTCCGCAAACATCTAACTACAAGAGCTGGTTGCTAATTATCAGCTGGTATTTTGCATTATTCCAAGCGCGATTGCTATCAAGGTTTTAAGGTGTTAATGAAGTGAACAGTTTGTACGGAATCCTGCGACTATTGACTGTTCAATTGGTTATATTCGATTGTCGTAATAGTGGTGGCAGAAGTGTAATAACAAAGGTTATAAATCTTAGTTGTTTCTTACATCATGGTATAGTTATACTATTTATATGGATTATAAATATGTATTAAATATGTTTGATTTACCAATGACTAAATATATATGTAGTTATATGTAACGATTTGTAATCCTGTGAAATATTAAGTTGACTCTGTCTGTATGTTAGTTCATGCACACACGTTAAACAACAAATATATACTCAATATTCTCAAGGTCCCATAAATCAGGGCTTCTCCTTGATTCGTCTCATGCATTATTAATTTTTCCTTTGTGTGTATGTATTCATCCCAATATTAAAGATGGATGCTGGATTGTGCTTGTGAGATTCGTCCGTTGCTAATGCCATATAATCCCTCTTTTCAACTTAAGTAGTCTATGTAGGCTTTAGCACATGTTCTGGTTTTAGGAAACCAGAAGCATATTTCAAATCATTCAACTGCCTTCTCCTCTGAAAAATAGGCGACATCATCATAGCAGTCTTTGATTTTGTATGTCTCACTGCATATGGGATTACCAGATTAAGTTTCCTGTGAACTTCACGTTGCAATCGGCATTTGGGAGTGGATGCGTATCTTTCTCCCTTCTTCATAAGTTTTTTATTCGTATAAAATTTCACTAATTCATATCAACTTCGCATCTTTGATCTACAAGGCGTAAATATAGTCATCAATAGTAGTACTATCTGCTGTTGTTGGACGTTGTACTAGAGCTCTATTTAGGCTGCTTACTAGAGTCATTCTATCACGTGGCCGACGAAATTATTATTATTTCAAGGTCGTCGTATATGTGGTACAGCTCATCATTTCATCGGCAGCGGCATTCGCAGTGGTCAATGCGCTAAGGTACAAAAGTCTTCTTCAAAATCTTTCTCTTTTAAACTCCTATCGCCGTCTCATCAGATGTTGTCATCGTCCATTCCATCGCACCAGATAGTTAAATGGGTTAAGGAAGTCAATCGATAATGTATCACCTCGCTTGAAACTTCGTTTGCTTTTGAACGGCTGTGTGGGATCTTTCTCGTTGCAGTCGACGCTCAACGTATGTTTGAACAGCGGTATAAGTTTTAAGGGGATACCAAATTGAGATATGGCTTTCGAAAGCTGTATTAAAATCGACATAGAAGTGGTGTACGCCGATCCTCTTTTCAGATGTCTTCCAGAAATTGGAGATCAATATCTGGACATTTGTTGATTTGCCACGTACAAGGTCACTCTGGTAAGATCCAATCAGTTTGTTGACAATGGTTTTTCGTCTTTCATACTGTATGCTTTAAAAGATCTTATATACGGTGTAGAGGAGGCTTATCGAACAGTAATTCTCACTAACTTTGGGTCCACTTATCGTGCGTTGGTTAGAGCGCTCCTAAGTTTAAATCGACGGATCAGTTTTCGCCCGAACATATTTTGTCAGTTTCTCGTTGCCACATTTAAATAGCTCAACATGCAATCTATCGGACAATGGAATATCGATTGGGGGGTAAGGCTTACTCTTCTGTGCTGAGCTAATTTTAAATATATACATTCCTTGAGCGCATAAAGTTACCTATTGTTTTTACTAACATATTCCAGTTCTCTGCCGTTTGAGTTTTAATAATTATAGCTAGACTACCTCTAGAATGCTGCGCTTTTATACCAAGCTAACTTTGAATGGAGTGCGATTGAAGAGTAAGGCTTTTGCTTACCTTTTTTATGGACTTCATATTCTCATATTAAATCTTTCATATTCATATCTTACAGCCACAAAATTTTCTTGCTTGACTACATTTATTTTTACGGCAGTGAATTTGGCTCCAAGGACTTCATACGGTTAAATTCTCCTTTAAATTCCCAAATATTTAATTAACTGCATCTAAATAACACACAGGTTCTTTGAGCTTTACAAGAACAATTCCATTTTACTGGTTGAAAACCGATTGTGTATTCAATTTTATAAACATAAAAGTAGAGTAATGATGTAAAACCCATATATTGTGATATGGAATATGTGCAAGTACACTTTATATGTGTACATGCATGAAATTACTTTTACCTATAAGGTCAGTTTTGAAATGACTTTATAAATATAATATATAAAACGTAGATTAGGTCCCCTATGATCCTTAATTAATATCTAATTAAAATTAAAAACTTTTCTGAGTAGAACAGCAACTTACATACAGTGGCTCAATAAAGAACTCGGACATACATTCCACTGTTATTAACATGCAACTTCAAACTAGATTTTTTTTTTTAACCAATTGATATCAAGCATTTTGTTTTTTATGTTTCTATAGGGTATCCAACAAGGATTTAAAAAATACCGATAACAAACAAATTAAATAGTTTCATAAATGTTAATATGGACCACGAGCAATATCTGGGCTCATTTGGAAAATAAACTGAAAATGCATGTTATTAGAAATAAGAAAGACCTAGAAGCCGCTATCTTAGAAGAGAGGCTTGCCGACCAAATATTAGAAATAATTTGTTTCTCTTTAAATAATATTAATCCAAAAGCTTTTTTCTGCGTCAAATTGTCTTCTGCTATTATAACGCGGAAAGTTTTTTTCTCACACAATGAATCAAATATTGTTATTAAGTTATAATTTATTAGTTATTCAAATTATAAGTTCTTTATTAATATTTAATTTCTCTTTTCTAGACATGGTTCTTTACAGACGCTGTAGACACCTACTACCAGGAGAAGACAAGTGAGTAAATATGAATAAGAACTATACATTTTTGTTTTAAAAAGATTTAATTGTGAATAACAAGATACGAGCAGATAGTAGTTACCGCTGTTTCATGATTCTTGACCCTTAACTGTGGATTCCATAGAGTATACAACCCACAGACCCACCAAAATTTAAATTGATTTCACGGTGACGTTTTAAAGATATTTCAACAAAATCTTGTAAGTAACAGTATATTGTTTTTGAAAATGCTGTAAACCAATTTCGAAAATTTCATGATTACTACTCAAAAATTGGTAGTCTGGCGTACCTAGTTTCATATGATCACATCGATTTTTCGTATATCATTGATTTGCTAGTTTCATCTATAATAATCAACCGTTTATCATTGTTCATAACGCTTAACTATAAGTATTGTGGGATATTTAATAATTCGTTGAATTAAAAACGCTATTTATATTACACTTTAGTTTTTGAATTAAAATACATAAATTTAGCTTCAAATTTAAAAATATCATTAATGAAAAGCCTCTGAAGAAACGCTTAGTAACGCAAAGTTATATCCAACTTTTCGGTTATGATCACAATAATAACGAATAAAATTCAAATTACGATGTGTTCCACCTTGAAACTAAATAGTTTCGGCAATTTAATTTTATATTTTATTTATCTTGATATTACCGTCGAAGGATATGAGTATTGTGATTATAGATTTTTCACATTATTATGAAAAGCTATTTTCGAGTGTTGTAAGTATCAAAATACGCGGGAGGGGTAAAAATTAAAAACGTTTTTTATTCAAGCGGGTGTTTTAAGGAAGAGGAAGTATTTCCAATATTGTAATATATAATATAATATAATAAATAGTGTAATACTTATCTTTAAGTGTATCTTCGAATGTGTAACGCACAAATTACTTAGATCGTGTAAGAGTATTTAGAATATGTTTGGAGTTGCCCGACGAATATGAATATATATCAACATCTAGAAATTAAAATACAATTCCGATGAAAATTTTTGATTCTACGCGTCACCTTAAGGTATGAGTTTATCGCAAGGTTTATTACAACCGTTGATGTCACCCAGCCAACTTCGTCATATATGCAGTGGACGGAACTTGATATTTATGTAATAAAAGGGAATATTTTTTATCCCAAAATCCACTTCTATTAAACGACACTAAAAGTTAGGTTGCTGGCTATAAAAATTATTGTTAAAAAATTATATTAACTTTCATATTTTAAAAGTTTTTGAAAATTAAATTTTTTCGACATAAAACTATTCTGAACGTATTAATTAATTAATTAAGTAATTGTTAGTAATTAAAAAAAATAACCCACAAAATTGAACAAACTTTCTATTTTATAATTTTTGAGTTTATCTTGTACGTTATAAATATTTATGGTTTGTACTGAAGAGAAAAGCAGAAATATTAATCAAGAGTTTTTAATTGAGACATCATTTTTAGAGAGATAATAGAAACTAAATTCAGACCAGAAATTTGTCTAAAAAAAACAAGTAGGATGAGAATTGTTAAATCCAAAAAGCTTTGTCATACTTCTCCAAAGATTAAGGCAAGGCGAATTTATGGAAGATAAAGGTGTCACATCATACGATCGCCGGGTATTCTTGCCAGTATTGCCAGGTTGTTTTTCGGCTAAAATTAGGAAAAAAAGGAGAGGAAAACTAAGGTGCAATGCAAGCATTTAATTTGTGTATGTTTTTTATAAAAAGATACCATTTTTACGTCCACGGCTGTAATAATCCCAATTTACGTTACGTAGTGTACGTCACGGATGTTGTGATCTGGAAAATACATTTTTACTTGACGAGTTATACGTCCATGTATGTTGTAATTCGAGCCCGTTTGTCGGTGGTTGTGCTTTATAGATAATCATCATACTCGAAAATTTTTCAATCTATTCCAGACAATATTTTATTTATGTATTTATTTACTTATGAACAAAGGCATACGCGGGCACAAGCATCCACACGTTCATTTCTGAGAGCTCTTACGAATAATGAGCAAAGAGGAAACTGCGTAAAATACCAATTTAGTTGCCCGTCATTCTGCTCCGCCTACTTGACCGCCTAATTTTGGCCACTGTCTGTCGAAAGCTCGACTCCTACCATAAAATGCTGCCCCTGTTTGTAAGCACGTTCTTTATGTTTGTGTTGCTACTACTTTTATCAAACAGTTATTTCTGTCATGAAGTCTTCACATGTATAGGAGCGGAATCCCTGTATTTTTTCTGAAAATATCAAAATAATTAAGTATTTATGACATACGTACTCCATAGTGACAACGTATTCTAGGAGGCTAGCTGTACATGCTACCATGCGCGGGTTCATGAGTTCGAATCCAGGAAGGACCAACACCCAAAACCATAATTATGTACAGTATGTGATGACTTATGTTTCCACCATCTCCAGACGGCTTGAATGCCGGTCTTGCACCGCTAATTGCAGAATTTCATAGACTTTTTGAGTGCCGACGAAAATGAGATGTGTCTTTAATCTTAAACGGTAAATATTTATTTTTATCTAAATTTCTTTCATTTTCAAATAATGATTTGGCACTAATTACGATTTGTCTGTGCTAAAAATATTGCAATGCAGTTTCATATTAATTTTCATAAATGATATCAAAAACACGGATTATTTTGAAAGTTCTTGAAAAATCTCAATTTTCTCGATAAAAAGTCGTTTCAGCACTTTGAACTGCTCAACAGCTTTTGAATTAAGAACCACGAAATGAATTTCGGCTAAAGTACCATTGTAATTGTAATTGTTTATTTGTTTAATATTCTGCAGCTTATTGATGATTTTGAATTTATTGCTGCAGTTCTAATCACTTAGCAGGGTTATATTTACTAAAGAAATTATGCTTTTACTTGCACGTCCAACAATACGTTTTAACACTAGTCCCATGAACTATATCTAATAACAATTTTAAATTTCAAAATGCAGCTTTGAACTCTACTTTTATATTGTCTTATGGGATGATTTATTTATGCGCGCAGTATATCTTGCATAACGCAAGTGAGGCGTACCAACTTTGCGCAAAAGCAGCTAACATCTAGACGCCTCCACTTTAGTCCTTCCAATCATTTACTTTGTTTTTGTTTTTCTTTCATTCAGAACCATTTAGTGGCCGCCAAAACATGGACTCTGCCGTAATTATTCATTTGTATTCTTCAGTCCCTTTCGTTGCGTGCACAATAGATTAATTTCCAATTTCAATAACTAAGGGAACAAGAAAAAAGATTTATCAATCAATTTTGACAGTTTTAAATTGAAAAGTGGATTTTTTTAAAGGATGCTTCTAATTGCAAACTGTCGTCTTATGTGAAGAATTTGTAGAAGCATACATACGTTTACGTGTGTAGACTGTTAGATTTTTAATTTTGTATCCGAATACATACCTACAAACGGTGTATTTTAATTCAGCTTCAAGGACAAAGTTTTTAAAAAATGAAATCACAAAACCCAGAAAAAATTCTCAGGTAATGTAGTATGTATTCAACTGACAATTTAAAATGAAGCATCTCACGCAATAAGGATTAATGAATTATCAAATATTTATATTTAAGTGGATTGATGTACAGATACATACGAGTTCATATCCCATAATTTGGTCTCATTATTAATTCTTTAAATTTCTTTATTTTCTGCTACTTATTGGCAGACAACCAAACTACTCACCCGAATAAGACCTTTATACTTATATCAAGCTGTATGCTGCTGCGGTTTAAAGATTGCGTTAATTTGGCCATTTAATTGAAAAGCTCGTTCTTTTTTGAAAGTTGAACTCATTTGGATAATCAAATTAATAATAAGAACATTTAGTTTGTTGGGTGTAATTTAAACATACAATTTAACGACAAATTTTATCTGTGACCGGTTTTACGTTTTCGTATTGAAAATCCTCACCAATAAACATATGCTTTTCATTGCTTTAGGCTGGCAGCACTATTATGCCAACAACACAAAAATGTTGTGAACAACACAATTCCACTTAGTGGATCTTGAAAAAATATTATATAAAATTACCGTGACCCGCGGATTTACTAAATTAAACTCACTTAACTATTGGGGTCAGCTTGGTAATAAGCTCTTTCTTTACTGTAATGTCATGTCGCTCTATGATTTAATTGAATACCATTGTAAAAAAAAAAAATAATAGGCATTTAATTAAGGAACGGAAAAAAGTATACCAAATGTCAAGTAATGTGAATTATGTTGGAATTGATTTTACTGCAATGGACAAATTTACGATATTGTTTCTAGTATTATTAAGGCATATTCATACTGCAGTTATAGCCGATTCTAAGTAGGTTAGCGCACTTTATCTTAATTGTAGTCGAGTTAAAGTGGGGTTTTTCTTTTAAAGACAGATGTCTTCAAGTGACAGCAGGTTCAGAGAAATTGACGAAAAGGAATTACAACTGCAGTGCATTCATTTTTGATCCTATAGATCTTGGAACTTTAAAAATTCTTTTAACATATACCTACTTCATTTGTTATTTGAACAGTACAAATTAAAAAATTATTTCAATGCTGCTTTAAGATCATTTAATTCGCCAACAGTTTTACTTACTACGGCCCACTGTACCAGTACCTGGTGTACTGCAGCTAGTGGTCAGAGTAAACCCTCATGTTTGTTTTTATTTTTCGTTTTGCTTTGCTTTCTCAAAAATGCAACCAATACATCTAAATATGTATGTATGTATGTATACTGGTGATACAAGTAAATACCTTTGTATTTAGATCGCAAAATCGTGGCGATAGGGAAATTTTTGGCTGTAAGAGGCTAAATGTGCAAATTCAAAATAAAGTTGACACGTGAGTATGTTAATATGCAATTGTACTTTTTTTTATATTTACATTTAAGTACCGCTAGTACTTATAATTTTTCAACATTATCTTTATTAAAGGAGAACTGTGTACGTACATATGTATTAATGTGAGTTAAAAATGTATTCCTTAGTAATCTATGCTCAATATTTTGGAAAGAAGTGAGATATAATAATGAACGTATGTATATAAGTTGTATTAGGTATAAATAGAAAACAGAGCGGTACATTGTTAGTATTTACCAATGTAGTTTTGTATGTGAATATGCCCGTTTCAAAGTAGAAAACTTCGAAATAAGTTTATAGTAGAATGATACGGCTCGGAGAACCACTAAATATTTCAGTGATGAGGAACTGCTAATATCGCTTAATATAAAAAAAATAAAAAACACAAAATTTAATTAATGTTTTTATATTAACAAAAATTTTGTAACACAACCTACCGCGCTTGTGATGCTTGAAGACGTTAAGAGTAATGTAAACAATAGTGTAATGTACAAAAGATATTATCAAGTGAGAATAAAAAAGCAAGTAGGTCTAAGCATTTGAAACAGCTTTTTAACAGAAAGTTCAATAACCGGGAACTAAGGGCATATATGTATGCATAGTACGAAACGCATAATAAGATTTAGAATTGCATTCGAGTGACCGACTTAAAACATTGTCTGATGAACTTTGTTTTTATTAGTAATATGTAAGTATATATGTAATCTTCCAGTTAATATTTAGTTTCGCATAAAATGAAAAAAAAAAACTATAATGAAAACTGGTATCGACAACTATGGTTTTATTACCGAAACATAGTTTATCGCATGCTTTGATATATTTCGAACCAAAACGCAACTCAGCGGTCCGCTCACAATGTATGTGTGTGTTCGTATGTCAAATAAACTGCGAAAACGCGGTATGTGGCGATAGTGGATTGGTCGCTTGGTTTTCGGTCAGAAGTATTTCAGTAAAGCATCCAAATGGAATTTTGATTAGGACTACAACATGCCCACTGAATTTTTGTTAAACACGAGTTGGATTGTGAAAAATGTTTGTATCCCCTAGCGATTGTTGTCTTGCTTGGCTCCTTGGCTTTATGTTCTTTACTTGCATCGGTGCCGCTTTGAAAGTCTTTGGACTTAGTTGTTTTATTTTCATTTTATACCTTTCATGAAGATTAAATAGCTAACTCTTACCCGAATTATGCAAATGGCATGATGAGAAGAAATACACCAATTAATATCTTGAAGATATAGATTCATAAGTACATATAGGATTGTCCATTTCGTGCTTTCAAAAGTACAGGGCAAACCTTTTTGGTATAGCAGTACACAAGAATGTGTCTATTTCGACGTTCTCAAGATTTGGGTCTACCTTACGGCACATTATGACAAATTTGGCGCCTGGACTTACACCTACATCTATGTAAAATCGAGCTCATACAACAACTGAAGCCAGCTGACCATTCACAATAGGCGAAAATGTTCTTTTACAACAAGCAGAGGACGGTAATTTTTCGAACAAAATTTTCTTCAGCGACGAACCACATTTCTCACTCGCTCACTTAAATGATATAAGGGAGACCATAACACCTAAAAACCTTGCCTGTGGTGATCTCTATAACCCGGAAGTGTGATTCGACCTTACTTCTTTGAAAACTATAACGACGAGAGTATGTCCGTCATTTAGGATCATTATGGGCGTATGATAATCGACTTCTTTAGGCCTGCAATTGAGAAAAAAGTTCTAATTTTTCTCTGGGGCTACGCGAAAGACCGTGTTTCTACGGATACCTCTTTAACTCACATTCGCAAGTTATGGCTGAGATACCGCCCAAATGTGTCAAAAATTTTTGGAATATTGCTTCGACCCGACCACAGTTTGCGAAAATTCAAACATAATAATAAAAAGGAATTTCGTAATAAATTTTTTTTAAATCCATTTTATTTACGTTTGTTTTCGAAGCCCGGTAACCCTGTATATTTGCACACAATATAAAATTAGGACAAGCTTATAAAAGGTATAAGGTCTTCACTCATCCGAAGCGTTTCTTTCTTGTTTTTCTTATTGTATTTGTATGCAATGTGCATATATATGTACGTGCGTATGTACATAGACATATCTGCGCGATTGTCTTATTAAACCTTTGTCATCGGAAACGTTTTATTATGTGGCATAGCATAAGAGTATACCAACCAGTGCATAGAATATAGGGATTATTTAAAAAGGTGATTTTAAATATTCCAACAATTTTTCTCCAATTAAGGGCTATGCTTGGCTAACAGAGAACGCACTTTATATGTTTTATATTTTGTGCGGTATTTGTCCGTATCAAGCGCTGCCATGCTACGCAGATAAGCTTCATTATTAGTACACTTTTGCAGTAATTGCAGCTTTCTTTAGAGGAGCATCTCTTGCTAAGGCATTACTGGCCTATGTGATTGTCTATATACATATCCACTTGCATGTGCTCATCCGCCAATGAATTTTAAATTCATTTTGTCGAATGTTTATACATACATTGTATGCAAAATCCGAAATTAGTACACCTTCTCAAAATTTTATAATAGAATTTCTTATAAAAAGTTGTTAACATAAGATGGGCTTAATTTAATTTTGCCAGCAGTTAAAAGCTACTTCCTTACTATATTGTAGTTAATATACGATTTTGTAGTTCACAAGGAGTTATACTAATACGAATTTGGCATTCATTAACTAAACAACTTATAATTAAAGGATTAACGGAATTGGAAAATAACCGTAGGTTATGAATTACTCTTACTCAAATTAAACTCAAATCCCGATCGTCCTTTTAGAAATGTATATAAACTTAATGAAAAAACTCTTTATTAATTGTACTTTATTAAATTAGTAACAGTAAGTAAGCAATATTGTGCACATACGTCTACTTCGACTGAAAGCAAAAAATCAAGTCAGTGAAACTCGATAGGTTGAATTGATCGTTAGCTACTAAGCATATGAGGCTGTCGTGGTGCTTTTACAAAGGTTTGCATAGACATTAGTTTTAGAAACCCGCGCTAGGTCACATTCTTAAGGTAATATTGTTAAATCTATTCTAAATATAACTGTGGAATTATATTTCAAGTTCCTTATACATTGTACATATTATTCATTTTAGTTAAGATGGGTTTTATCATCTTTCTTCAAAACTAATTTCGCTAACCATAAAACAATATTTTTTCTTTTTGTACTTCCAGAGGGACATTTAATTAATACAAACTGTTCACAGGGTCATTTTCAAGAGGCTTTATGCTGTAAAATGTCTGCAGAATTGGATGTCTTTCTCGCAAGTGGGAAAAAGTAAGCTAATATAAATTAATTATATATAATATTTAAGTGACTGAATTTAAAATTAGGTGATCAATTTTTGTGAAAGTAATCTCCTTAATTGACTACTGTAATTGAATATACATATATACTCCTACAGCATTACCAACATTTTACAAAAGTTTATGGATTGTACAATAACCTCCATTTCCTAACTATTATATAAATAAGCTTTAAAGAAAATATAATATTTATTATTGCTGTTAGTTATTCCTGTCAACATGACGTGGGTGTAAGAGCTTTTAATTTAGTACTCTGCACACATATAACGAATTGGCATGAATTTATATTTTATTCCAAGAAAAACATCCTTTAAATATGATATGGTTAAGGAAGGTACAAAGACGTCGACATGGCCTTTCTGAGTTGAAATAAGAGCCCTTTATAAAAAATAATTAGCCGACCTGAAGTGCCTCAAGATAAGTCGTAGGTCCTCCATTTGTTAGAAATATATCATGTCTGGGTAATTATGAATTTGCCAAGCCTAAAACAATGTTAAGGTCAATGAGCTGACAATGAGCTTTAGTTTTTCTCACCCTATTGAGGAGTAGATGGAACGATCTGCAGGGCTACCATTTTGTGGATTGGGTATAGCACACTTGAGTTGCAATCGTCCGACTGAACTCTACTGAAATGACAAACTTTATTTTACTGAGCCACCCTTTCCCCTACGTAACCAGCTCTTACTAGCTTTTCATTAAAGTGTATTGTATTTGGGAGAATTATAAATAAAGCTAATCTCCTGAACCATGGATATTTGATGTGGTTTGCAGGTTATTTTGGAATTGTCCTAAATTCCCATTCTGCATACATATATTATATTTTGTGCTTGGATAAATGAATACTCGCACTTTTCGGAAGGCGTTGGTGGAAATCTACGTAAACAATAAACAAAAAGTAAAAAACCAGCACCAATAGCCAACAACCAACAGATTGCGGCATCCACAATACGTATAGTATATCGTGTTTTGAGTAGGCAGTCTATATATAGGATGTAAAGTGCCGGGATACAGGGTTGAAAGTGTGCAGAAATTGAAGAAAAATTATACAAAAAATTTAGGTATACACATATTTATTTAGATTCAAAAAGCTGAATCTTATTTTAATTCTAATTTATAAGTTTATTAATTGAAGATAGGTTACGATGTGTTTTGGTTGGCTACCAGATGAGAAAGAAAGCTAGTGTCAAAGCAATTGTACAAATGAACCGTACAGAAAATAAGGAAATAATATAATGTATAAAACTACTGTTGGTTAGCATTAAAGACAATAATGGAATGATTGCGTGTTGTAATATAAACAGAAAAGTTAAAAGTGTAAATCTATTACAATCCAAATGTGAATTACTCAAATTAAGGGCGGTTTGTAACCGTTGAAACGAATTTCGGACTCTTTAAATTTTCGATGTGCGCCTTGATGTTTTTCCAACAAATGGAATGGCCGCCTTCACACGGCTGATGGATTTTTTTATGTGGAGTTTTGATTTTCCTGTCGGAAACACCCTCGTAGGCCTTATCGTTCTCTGCCGAGAGGCGACGACAATTAGAAAAATTAACTTTAATTTTTAGGCAAATTAAACCCGGGCAGTACGCAATGTTAACCACTCGGTTATCTCAACTCGATTTAAACTGTTTGCTTATTCGACAGTCGCATTAAACGTTACGAAAAGCTGTTTGTCTTTGCATTAAAATTATTTTTAATTATATTTTATGCAAGCAAACAACTAAAAGGCTTACTTTTATAAGAGCGCATCCAATTTTTGATTTGTTTTAAACAGACTATCAACCAAATTGATTCGAATTTACTCTCAATATTAGTGTTAAGAGCGGTTAAAATGGATCAATACAGTGAATAAAAATTTAAATTTTTCTAGTCTTGTTTTGCAATTCGTACCAACTTTGTCGGCAAAAACTGCCAGACGGACAAAAGTAATTTGGTCCAACCAACCATTTCGCATACTTTTATATATGTATGTACTTTCCAGCCGACTGGAAGACCAAAATCTTAAATGGGTGTGACGTTTGCTTTCAGCTTAGAAATGCTGCCAGCCAGTTTAGAATTTTTGTTAACAAATTTCATAATTTAAATGTTCGAATATAAAAGCATATCAATTTACGTGAAATATAATGTAATAAATTATTATTAACTTACTTAGTTAACGCTTTTATTTATAAAAGTTTCTACCGGCATTGCACAATTGAGAGCAATCAGCGGTGTCGGTTTTATGAAAAAAATCACCGCTGGTTTCTACGCTTCCAACGTCAGCAACGGCAACGCCAAGCGGTGACTGGTCAATTACATGGCGCTCCCTTAAGATATGTTGTTCAATTGAGTCGATATGTTTTTGGCTGGTTCGGATAATACGCATAAAAAGAAATCTTAAATTTAATTTAAGTAAAGTCAAGCTTAAGTTATATGTTGAAGTATCGCTCTTCTAGTGCAATCGCAAGATGGCAAGGATCTAAGTTTGGGGAATCATTACGTTGTTGAGTTTCATTACTGTGAATATTTCGGCCTTTAAAGTAAGTCGTAGTTGGTTTTCTTGTGCATCATAAACATTAAAGAAATTTATTATCTGTTTCTGTCCGGTAAACGAATCATAAATACTATTTTTTGGAATAGGTCGATCTCTGATCTACTTCCCTATTTTTTTTTCGCACTCTTCGAAATCGGTCTAGTCGTTCTTTAGCGTAGTAATTCACTTTCTTTCCGGCGAGTTTCGTGTCACACCAATTCCAAATTGACTTCAAAGTTATAATAAGACATATACGAGGTGCAACAATTAAGTATTGAGACTGATTATATTGCCGCGATTGTGGTAATCCCGGCATCCTTCTCCTCTCCATTGATCCATTGATCGCTCCAGCATGTTCAGTTCGCCTGATGTGTCGTGTTGAGTAAAATATAAAGACTAGATCAATGCAAAAACTTTGCGGCAAATTGGCTAAAGAGCTTCAGAAAATTGTAAATGAGAGCTTGTTTTTTCAATACGACCCGGAAACCAAACGTCAAAGCCCACAATGGTTGTCTCAACAGGCCCCCCTCTCGAAAATAGCGCGCATGAAGTCGAAGGTGAAAACGTGGAATCATCTACAAAGAATTTCTTCCACCGGGTTAAACCGTAAATAAAAATTGTGAAAACGGGTCAACAGGGTGAGCTAAGACATCGATAGTGACTATATCCCTCATCACGACAACGCGCCGTGTTTCAACAACTGCCTCATCCGCCCGATATGTCACCCTGTGATTTTTTCTGTTCCCTAGTGACGAGGGTACTCGCGGACATCCGAGTCGAAGCGTTCCAGAAATGCTACGCAGCATGGAAAACGCGCTGGAATCGTTGTATAGCTGCTCAAGGGGACTACTTTGAAGGGGATGTCGAGTTGTAGAATAATTTTGAAATATACGGTTTTAGGAATAATAAGGTAAACAATATTTTAGAATTTATTTTCGTCACAAAAACAAATACCATGAGCAATTTGCAAACATACAAACAGACAACGTATGGCGATGCATAGAAAATATACTCTTCTGCTCGTTCCTCTTGAGCTTTATTATTAAGGGCATTTATACCAATTATTGTACGAATTTAATGTCGACTTAGGTTTTGCGTGTAATACGAATCCAAAATTATTTTCTGAAATATTTTTTATTGAATTAATAAATATCGCATTGAATTTCAATAAACCCAAATGTTGCAGATGTGATGCCGGACTATCCATACTATCCATACATTTAACAAGAGCTAGTCATTAGTTCCTTTATTTTTTATTCGTATGGACCAATTCTAACTTCGTATTTTAACTAAATTGAAGAAATTTTGGATCAATTTCAACACTTAATTTGCACCTTTTCATATAAAAACATCAATATTTTTTATCAATGCTTTAAATTAGTATTAAAATTTTCATATCAAAAATATGCAAACGATACTTTGCGTATGATGCTAAATGTGATCAGTTATAATAAATGTGTTCGATATGAATTAAAATAATTTTGTTGGCCAATGCTCAAATGTTAACCATAATCCTTAGTTATATACAATTCTCCTTACGTTTATTTACAAACAATATGTACATAAAGAAATTCTCGTTTATGATGAGTATCTCGAGGTGTGGTGTAGCAACACTGTTAAAATATCTATTAGATGCAATTACTAATTCGATCTAATATTCACCAACAAGTGTTAATATTCACCAATATGTTATTTGTGTTTATCAGTCTCTATACGTCAAAAATAAGATCTTAACCTAACTTGAAAAAATCTTAAATGGCAACATTGGCTGCATGCGAGAATGAGGGAACGAGCCATTTGGCTTGTGTTTTGGTGACGTCATACTTTCGGTTGTATACATATAGTATGTATAGTTTGCATCTAGGTATGTATTTTTTAATTTTGACAAAAATATACACAGTGATGTGTCGCTTAATTCACAGTCTTGTATATACATTTATATTGTTGATTCCAATGACAAAGACATTATAATAAACAATATTTGAATTTATTGCATAATAAAGTTATTTTTCAAATTTCGTTGTACTGATGATCGTAAGTCCAAAGATAGGATTTTACATGCTTGCTGTAAGGTAATAAAATATATATATGTACATATGTATTTGCTTATGTTGAAATTTGAAAATACCGTAATTTCATACCAGCGAGTATTAGTTCTAAATCAGAGTTCAATAATTCATTTGCAAACATATACTAAGATTTAAATTTTATTATTCTATCTCTTTTCATTGATGCGTAATTAAATTTGGGTAGGCAATGCACAGTCAAAATATTTTGTTTGGTTGCGAGCTCTAGATACGAAACTTACTCAAATTTCAGCTGAGAGCGTTCCCCTAACGTTGGCAGCAAAGTCAGATCGGGGAACATTCAACATCTGATGGGCAAAACGACCCGTGCCACTATGTCAATAAAAAAAATCCATTGTTTTTGTTTCAAAAGAAATTTGCTTCAGCAGTAA